CTCTCTCTCTCTCTCTCTCTCTCTCTCTCTCTCTCTCTCTCTCTGAGCCTCTCAGGTAATTTCTTCCTAAATGGATAGAATAATAGGCAGCTACTTCAAGTGACTGTTGGAAGACTCATTAGGGCGGTAGAAAGCTCTTAGCACATTACCAGCCCTTAACGAGTGCTCAGTAACTGGTAACCGTGTCTCTTAGCTTTTCTTATTTGTGATGGGAGCATCCAGGTCTGAACTGCTGCCGCATCTGAGAAACAGCAGAATGCTTGAGAGGAAATTACCTAGCAACACATATCTGCCACCATAGCCAGCCCTAACTACATCCCATCCCCATAGTACACACAGAGAAGAGAGGCAAAAAACAGCAAGATCACCAGAGAAAGTGACCAGTCACAAGATCACCGGGCATAGAAGGGGCTCATTCTGGTTAGTCCAGTTTCGTGGTCCGGGTCCCATGCTAAATAGAAACCAGACTCTGTGTGTGTGTGTGTGTGTGTGTGTGTGTGTGTGTGTGTGTGTGTGTGTGTGTGTGTGTGTATGTGTGTGTGTTACTGACCTGCGATATAAGGAACACGGTCTGTAGATCAGCTGAGAGGTGGAGATGAAGATAAAGAAAGCAGAGAGGGATAAGAAGAGAGAAAAGACAGGAGAGATGAGAGCTAAGTGAAAGGAGGGATGAAGACCCAGAGGAATAGGAGAGAGGGAGGGAGAGAGATTGATTTTGAAGGAGAGAGGTGATTTTGAAGTGAGGCATCCAGAATATATACTGAAATGCCTCAAGGCAACTAAAAGCAGACCTCAGCCCACTCAGAGAGCACAATGCCCTCCCACCTCATCAAGCCCACAGTGGATCAGGAAGGTGGTGACTCACTGTCTGAGTCACCTGTTCCCACTCCTGAGCTCAGAAGGTGACTTGTATTCATGGAAGTCTCTCGACCTGCAGAGAAGAGCCCAAATCTTGGCCCCTTCTGTCCCAGGCAGGGGACAGAAGGAAATCCCAGAACACTGGCTTCTGGAAGTCTCTAGTATCTTCTAGAAAGGGGAATTGGAAAGTAGCAAGTGTGAGAGGTTAAAGACCAGGTTCTGGCAAGGCTGATTCCGGGGTCTCTGTATTTCATCGTCTCCTCCTGCCCCTTTTCTTCGCTCCTCTCCTTGGGCCCCTTTTCTCTGAAAGGCTGGGGTTTCGTGCTTATTTTCTTTTTCTCTTGTTCTTATTTCAGCTTCAAAGAAGCCTCTTCCTCCTACTCCTGAAGACAACAGGGTAAGTGAGGTGGGCTCGTGTGCTGTAAGCCCAACTGTGATCTCTGTGTTTCTCAGATCTGGGTGCATGTGGCAGACAGTTGCAGTTGAGGTATATTTAACACTTTGGGCTTGGGGGCTATTTAGTGCAGTAGTTCTCAATCTTCCTAATGCTGAGACTCTTTAATACAGCTCCTCATGTGGTGACCCCCAACCATGAAATTATTTTCATTGCTACTTCATAATTGTAATTTTGCTACTGTTATGAATTGTAATGTAAATATCTGATGTACAGGATATCTGATATGCGACCCCCATGAAAGAGTCATTTGGCCCCCCTGTAGGGGTCATGACTCACAGGTTGAGAAATGCTTATTTAGTGGGTCTGTCCACTTAAAGGATCACTCAGGTCCTGAACTGCCACCTTGCAGTACACAGTCTACAAGCACTGCCACCAAGCTATCTTTATGCCTCAATATAGAGCACTCCAGAGACAAACGCCTGATAATACTTTATATATTCCAAAGTACTTCCACACTTTTGCTATATATGATAAAACTGTGTCTCCTATCCACTTTGAAGGGCTATAACTTTATATCCTTGCTTTTGAACTTAGCAAACTAAGTACCAAGAAGTCTTGAGGTTTTCTCGAAGGCTATTCAGGTACTAACAGGACTTAGAGTTTCTGGTGTATGGGTGTGGGTTTTGGAATGGTTGTTCTCCAGATATAGCCCATAAACCTCAAGCATCAGCCACACTGGAGAGCATGTGAGACTGCAGAGTCCTAAGAACACACCCAGATCTCTGCAGCCATAACTCTGGAGGAGAGGCCCTTCATCTGCATATCAATTCTCTCCTGTCATTCTGAGATATACTCAAGTTTGAGACAAACTGCTCTGTGGTAGACTGATTGACCAGACTTTGGTACACCAACTCTGGAGAAAAAGAAGAAATAAGGAAAGGAGGAGCCCCCGCCTTCTGGTCAGGTTAAGATTGGTGCCCACATCTGGGTACTTGCTCTGGGAAAGTTATAGTTTGGCTTCCTCATGCTTCTTCCTGAAGAAGGAGCTCTCTTTGTCTTTTCCAGCCAACACAGTGATGCCTCAAAACAGGCAGCATCCTCAGAAGGGAAACTAAATCCCCGAGCCTCGGGTTAACTTTGAGATCCCTTCCTGGCTGACACTCCAACACCACAGCAGAGACACACTCCCATTGTTGCCGAGAACCAGTTGTGCCCTACACTCTTTGGCCTTCTGAGCACGACTCCAACAGCCTCCTTGCAGGTGTGGCTTGGAAGCCCACTGCCCTCTCTTTCCCCTGTAGCGGGTCCACCCAAACCTACAGCTCTCTCTGAAGTCAGCCTGCCCCTTCTCTTGCCCTCCCGAGTGTTGGTGAGGGTGAAGCCAGAATGCACTGCTTGCCCATCACTTCTTGAATTGCACCATTGGAACCTGAGGGCTCCTTGGAAATGCAGCGCCTGTGGTGTTGTGTGCACTTTCCCACAAAGGCTTGGGGCCCGCGTCAGTCATGTCTAGAACCATTGCAGTGCTTCTCTTACTCCTTGCCACTTGAAGTCGTTCATTTCTCTCCTCCCCTCCTCTCTCTCTTACCTGCAGGGCAATGGCATCTCAGCTTGTCCTATAGAGAAACAGTATTTTACACGACGTTTTCAGGCCTTATGCTATGTTCTAGTTTAATTTCTCTTGCTGTTGTAAAATAACCCGAACAAAAGCACCTTAGGGGAGGAAATGGTTTATTTGGCTTAAATTCCAGATCATGGTGTATCATTGAGAGAAGTTCAGGCAAGCACTCAAGGCAAGAACTTGAAGGCAGGCTTGCTTACTATTCCACACAGCCTGACCTCCAACCGAAGAACCCACTGCCAAAGCCAAGGCAGAAGCCGCAGATATTTCTTGTTACCTAGCTAGCTTTCTTACGTTATTCAGGCCTACCCCACTAGGGAATGGTGCTGCCCACAGTGAGCTGGGCCCTCCTGCGTCAATTACAAGACAGTTTCCCACAGACATGCCCCTAAGCCAATCTGATCTAGGCAGTTCCTCAATTAAGATGCTCTTCCAAGATAATTCTTAGTTGTTTTCAAGTTGACAGTTAAGGCTAGCTAGGATCTACTTGAGGAAGACTGTGGAGTTACCCTTCAGAGGGACAGGGTAGCTACTTAGGAGCAGCTGCCTGAAACTCCATCTCCTATGGATCCAATGCTTTTTCCTGGCTTCTGAGGGTACCAACACTAAAAATAATGTGCCATGCACACACATAGACACGCACACACGAATAAAGAAAAGGAAAAATATTTTTAAAAATCTTATACAGCACAGATAATGTAAACAAATACTTTTTAAGAGAACCAATCAATATGCTCACTGTAATATTGAAAAAAACAGAATAACTTGTATTCCTAAATGTAAATATGGGGTGATGAGTATAAGAAGACATGATGCAATAAGCCAATGCCCAAGACCATAGAAAGAACCCATTGAATTTGGCAATTCAAGTGCAGTAGATACAGGAATGTCTTATTGATGGCTCAGCTCTAGTGTTTCTATGAGTGATATGATTTTCCAAAATGGTGAACAATTCCCAAAAGAATTCTAAATTAAAACAAGGGTAAGCACCCTCAGTGCACAGGTAGTGCAGTCCTGGAAAACCCAGTCCTTTTTATTGGGCCACTATGTGCTCTACATGACCCCTGTGGAAATGTACCACCATCATCTAAACCTCTATACTAACCTTTTTCCTTTAAGGGTTAATCGGGGAGTTGGATCTACAGTAATATAGACAACATATCACTTCTATACCTTCTTTGGGTACCTTGAACAGTTTCTCCATCCATTCTCTGCAAAGCCTCAGGTCCACAGACTCTTAGCTATCTGTAGGATCCAACCAACCACCTATTTCAAGCTCCATAAATCCCCAGAAATCAGTGTACTCAGAGAATTTGTAACTTCCTAACACTACATCACCTTCCAGCCAGTAACTCAATCTGTTCCCATATTTTCTTTGTTTCCAAATCTGCCACTCAGTCTCATGTGTGCTCATCTTGACCTCTGGTGGTTGTTTGCCTTATGAGCTGTTCTTCATGTCATTAATATCTCATCCTATTTGAAATATGGTATGTGTCTTAGATAGGGTTTCTATTGCTGTGAAGAGACACCATGGCCATGGCAACTCTTTTTTGTTGTTGTTGTTGTTGTTGTTGTTTTGTTTTTTGTTTTTTTAAGACAGAGTTTCTCTGTGTAGTTTTGGTGCCTATCCTGGATCTCACTTTGTAGACCAGGCTGGCCTTGACCTCACAGAGGTCTGCCTGGCTCTGCCTCCCGAGTGCTGGGATTAAAGGTGTGTGCCACCACTGCCTGGCCATGGCAACTCTTATAAAGGAAAATATTTAATTTGGGCTGGCTTACAGTTTCAGAAGTGTAGTCCACTATCATCCAGGTAGGAAGCATGGCATTGTTCAGGCAGACATGGTACTGGAGTAGGAGCTGAGAGTTCTACATCTTGTTCTGCAGGAAGCAGAAGGAGACACACTCAGTCACACTGAATGTAGCTGGAGCATGTGAAGACCTCAAAGCCTGTCCCCACAGTGACACACTTCCCCCAACAAGGCCACACCTCCTACTAGTGCCACTCCCTATGGGCCAAACATTCAAACACATGAGTCTGTGGGAGCCATTTCTACTAAAACCACTCCAGTGTGGGGCAGAGGTATAGGTCAAGGTTTCTGCAAGAAGAAGAAAGGAGCCATGTGTTACTGTAGAGGGAGCATTGAGATGAATTCTCTAGGAGTTGGCTATGTCCATTCCCTACCATGGGATCTGATTCCCCATTCTAATGAAAACATGGGTAAAATGGGCTCTTGAGGTACTTCCAGCCCTGGCAGCCTCTGATTTGATGGATCTGGGCAAACCAGGTGAGCCAATACAGAAATCAGTAGATTTCTGTGAAAAGCACGTGGCTTCTTGGAATTCACTGGGATCAGAATTTACCTCACAGAATGAAAGAAGTGCATACTGCTGCTGTTTGTATCTGTTCAGTCCCATAACCCAAACTCATAAAGAGTGCCAGCTTAGAGGAAGGTAGCTTACTCCAGTGGGTGGAGTAAGCTGCCATGTTGGCCTAGTCTAAATCCAGGATCCCAGGAACTCGTCCCCTTCTTATGTCTTTGCTTCGTTTTCTTGTCTCTTCCCCAGCGGTCACTTCAGGAACCTGAAGAAACCCTGGTCATTGCCTTGTACGACTACCAAACCAATGACCCCCAGGAGCTTGCGCTGCAGTGTCATGAAGAGTACTACCTGCTGGACAGCTCCGAGGTCCACTGGTGGAGGGTTCAAGACAAGAACGGGTAAGACAAGGGTACGGCTGCTGTGGGGACGAAGTGAACGTGGGAAGGAATGCCCACGTCCTTCAGCCGTCCTGAGGCCGAGTTAGGAAAGCAGAGCCGAGCACCGTGGAAGGGAGAGAGGAGTGAGCTCGTCATTCCTCTTCTCAGAAGTAACAGAGAGGCTTCCACTTGCCTCATCTTAACCCTTCCCTGTCCTCAGCTCATCTAAAAGCCCCTGGATTTCCACTGGTCGTGACAGTTGGTGGGCTTGGCAACTTGCTCTGTGATGTTCTTAAGTTTCTAAATACATGTCATTGTGAAGTAAGTGGAAAGAAAAGGTGTGTGAAGATGGCACAGAGTGGCAGTTACGTTAGAAAGTCTCAGATGGCACCAGAGATTTCATTATGAGAGCAATCATTAAATGCTGATGAAGACAACAAGTTTCTACAGATACTAACGGCCTTCTCGGGGGTTTGGAATGAAAAACGTCTCATGAGCCCTTCTTTAATGTGGAACAATTACTGTGACCAATATTCTTCTATATTGGTAGCAAGTGTTAATATTATGAAATTATTATTAATTTTGAAACCAGACAAAGAAACTATTCCAGCACTGAAACATCACTACTCCATGTCAATATTTTATTAAAACAACAACAAAAACCACCCTATTGTACAGGAGCAGAGCTCAGTGCTAGTGTGTGTATCTACCATGCACGATGCCCTTGGTTCAGTCTGCTACAATTAAGAAAGAAAAGAATTTTAGAAAGTACATTCACTGTAGACAGAAGTATACATGAAAAGCCATCAAGTCCACAATCACTGCTAATTCTTCCTTGTGCTAATTCTTCTTTGTGTGCCTAGATACAAGAGTTGGTCATAACAAGTGCATTTTGTGTATTTTGCTCAAATGATCCATTCTCTGCCTTTATCTTTGTATGATAATCTCTTAGCAATCTTTTCATATCAATTCATACAAACTCACCCCTTTTTAATATATGTGAGTGTTCTTCCTGGATGTATATGTGTGTACCATGTGCCTGATTGATACCCATGGAGGACAGAAGAGGGCATTGGATCCCCTCAAACTGGAGTCAGAGATGGTTGTGAACCACCATGTTGTTGCTTATAGGGGTCAAACCTAGGTCCTCTGCAAGAGCAACAAGTGCTCTTAACCACTAAGCCATTTCTGCAGCCCCATCTGTATTGTTTTGAATAAAGCTTTAGTGAAGACCTGGCAATATTTATGTAGCATGACAAGCTTTGGGATGCACATATATCTCAGTTCTAACTATGGAAATGTTGAGTTATGTTAAGTCAGAGTATATGGTGTTTTAATTTTAACAGATAATGTCTCCTAAAATTTTACCAAATTTGTACACCCCCACAGGATATAGAAAAGCCAACACTGGCTAGTATTAAGCTTTGAAAGGGTGAGGAAGGCTGTATTTTTCTTCATCTTTTTGTACATAGGCAGAATCTGGAGGTATTTTAGATATAATCAAGTTTAAATCTCTCATTTCATTGGTAAGAACTGGAAGCCAAGAGAGTTGAATGGGCTGTTTACCTGCTGCTTTCTTGTGCTAAGGGCTGAATACAAAGTGATTTCAAGATCTACAAAGCTATACACAATGTAAATAGCATTGATAATGTTTATAAACTTTTTATCATTTCTTTCATTTCTCTATTATTAATTCCAGTTCAAATGTTACATTTCACCTTGGAATACAGCTTGACCTTGACCTTTTTTTTGGCCTTATACAGGGTCTCACGCTGTACCTCAGGCTGGCCTGGAACTCATTGTGTAACCCAGGCTGACCTCAGATTCACAGCTATCCTCCTGCTTCAGCCTCCTGAGTACTAAGATCACAAGCTTGGGCCATCTGTTCAGCTTTTCTCATGGTTCTTTATCTGAAGATGCTCAACTAGGGAGTTTTTAAATTTTAAAGTGTACAACATTAGCTGGGAATGATCTTTAAGGACCTGTGCTTGGAAAGTTGGGTTCTTGTACCTTAACTACTTCAATTCCCTTACTGGAAAATGATGGCATAAAGTGAAAAAATACTGATTATCACAAAAATTAATTATAGAAAATAAAGATTGAAAGGTATTTTTCCAGTAGAGGAAAGTTTATAATGAGAGCAGCAAGCAGAGCCTTTGAAGTAAATACCCGTTTGTTCTTTATTAGAGTCCATATTTTGTGGTGGAGTGTGTTGCTCTCAGCTGAGCACACCTTTGTTAATTTTATCAGCTGTTCTATTCCAAAATTTGTAAATGTCTTATCATAAATACCAAATAACATGAGACTTTGAATTCTTACATGACTTTAGTGGATTAAATTTGTTAAATCAAGATGTAAAAACCAGTTCTCTGCAAATCTAAACACTTGTTTTTCATTTTACAGGCATGAGGGATATGCACCAAGCAGTTACCTCGTGGAAAAATCTCCAAATAACCTTGAAACCTATGAGTAAGATACTTTTACTTTCTTGAATCACTAACTTATTTATTTGTTCTTTTTTTTTTTTTTTTTTTTTTTTTTGAGGCAGGTCTTATTGTATAGCCCTTGTTGATCTGAAATACACTAGAGACCAGGCTGGCCTAAAGCTCAGAGATTGGCCTGCCACTGCTTCCTAAGTGCTGAGGTTAAAGGCGGTGCCAGCACACCCTGCTTCAATTAGTATTTTAGAACTATGGTACTAAAGTTTTCTCCCTAGGTCAAGCTGTTGGTTGGCTATAAAAGTTCTAAACTGTTCCTTTTTTAAAAAGTCTGCTTTATTTTCTCCTTTCTCTGATGACTAAAACAGTAAGAATTTAGCCCAAATAGGAGAAAAAGGAGTGTGGTCAGTACACTGCCTTCCCCCTTTATTAAGGAATGGTTCTCAGGCCTTGAAAAAAATTCTGTAGAAGAGAAATCTTTTACTGCGAATCCCAAGTATAGGTCACTTGAGAAAGAAAATCCTTATGAATATAGGATAAAATATCAACTGACTTAAAACATCATTAAACACAATATTGCCAATATCAGGACAATATTCGGGGAGTAAGTATCTCCCTAGGCTATGCTAAGTGTTTATCGATAAGCCATTACTATCAATTTTAGTGGAAATGTTCAATGTTTCTTTGATATAGTGTACAAAGTACCCACCACGCATGTGTACTTCCTAGCTTGGAGGCTGGAAGATCTACACCTCCCACTTAGATCTTGTTTCTGAATGGCTTCCCCACTAACGAGAATTGTGGCTTCTGGAAGCAGTGGAGCACAAAGACTCCAGGATTGAGGCAGGGAAAGAATAAGATGGACTTGGGATGTCTTGTTGCACTAGAAAGTAAAGAACTAATATTTTTTGAAACATTATTTCAGTGATTGAATCATGTCAAGCAGGCACAGAAGTGAGTTTTTTAAAGCTCTTATTGACTAGACTGGGACAATTTGAGTATAAAAATAAGTAGGGATAGCAATGGACTGTAATTCATTGAATAAAATAATAATTCATAATAAATTGATTGATTGTAAGTAAATAAATAAATAAGACAAAGTTCTTTGTGGAAGGCTAACAAAGCTTGAAAACCACCATTTGTATCTCAAAGTATTAGTTCTGGCAAAATCAATGAATGTCACAACCAAGGAGTGAAATGTAATAAATGTAACAAAGGTTTTTTTATAGGCTCAAAGTTATCCCTTCCTAAATCAGTTGTAGCTACAAAATAGAAATAACTGGTAGACATTCATCTCAATATGGCTCCAAAATATTGCCCGTTGTCCCTGCTCCAAAACATACACAGTATGAATTTAAACATGAGGATACAGTAGCAAGTCCAAATTAAGGAATATTCTATAAAATAAATGGCCTTTAATCTTCAAAAACAATTAAATATGATAAAAACCACAAAAAACTAAAAAATTGGTCCCTGTTAAAGGAAACTAAGGAATATAGTAACTAAATGCACAAGTAATCCTGGATTGGACTTATAACCATAAAAATGTTTTGTTCCCAACACAGTTATTGGGAAAAGTAATACAATTTTGATAAAGTCTGAAATTAGACAATATATATGGATATTAAAATTCATTATTAAATTGATATTGATACGATGGCAAACAGCTCACTGAGTACTTAGCATTAAAAGTCTACTCTCAAGAAGTACAGGAAAAATGTACCAGGGCTGATGAGACACTTAATGTATAAAGTGTGGGCTATGCACTGAAGACTGAGTTTGATTCCCAAATGTGCATAAAGGTGAGAGGACAGAAGTAGCTCCACAAAGATGTCCTCTGACCTACACACACACACACACACACACACACACACACACACACACCATGGCAAATGTGTACTACACACACATATCCTACATACACAATAATAAATAAATAAAATAATTAAATATACCCATCCATATGCCTAAATCATCTAGAGAGAATAGTAAATACATACACTTTCAGCCACTGGTTCATCTAGGAAAAGGGTCAATGGGAGTTCCTTTATACTGTTTTATAACTTTTCTATAAGTTGGAAATTTTCAAAATTTTGTTATTAGTGTGTGTGTGTGTGTGTGTGTGTGTGTGTGTGTGTGTGTGTGTGTGTGCGTGTGCTTGCATGTGCTGTGAAGGACGTGTGGAAGTCAGGGGACAGCTTTCTCCTCTTAACCCTATACAAAGAACTACAGGCAACCAAAGAAAGGACACACCAATTGGTTGTCCAGTGCCAAAGGGTCAACCCTGAAAGCACACATACAGGTAGCATTATACAGATGGAACAGGTTATGTTTAGGATGCAGTGCAATAACAGTTAGTGAAGAAGAGACTTTGAATTTGAAAGAGATCAGGGAGGGGTATGTGGAAGGGTTTGGACGAAGGAAAGGGAAGAGAGGAATGTTTTAATTAAATTATAATCTCAAATATAACAAAAAAGAAAGGAGAAGAAAAAAAGAAGATAATTAACTGTGAGCCTGGGAATAAGCTAGTAAGCAGTGTTCCTCTATCGTTCCTGCTTCAAGCTCTTCTCTAGAGGTCCTGCCTTGGCTTCCCTTGATCATGGCCTGTAACCTGAAGATGAAATAAACACCCCAATAAAAAATAAAACAATCAATTAGTACTCACTAAATATGAAACTCCTTAGAAGAGTATAAGATAACCAGAACTTCCACTAGCCCATTAGGATTCTTGCTAGTTCAGTGTGACCAAGGTAATGGTTTTTGCAATCTGAATAAATGCTGGTAACCAAGTACTATG